CTTGATGCTGCCGGTTTGTTTTATTTAAAGAAAAACAATAATTCATTTTCTGAATTTGCTTTTCTTTTCTGTTTAGGTAAGACAACAATTCTCTATAAACTTAAATTAGGAGAAATTGTGACAACAATTCCAACTATTGGTATGTATAATTTATGTTTCTGATAATGAAAAGAACATTCATTTTTTTTTTTTTTGTTTTATTATTAGGTTTTAATGTTGAAACAGTAGAATATAAAAATATTAGTTTTACTGTTTGGGATGTTGGTGGTCAAGTAGGAATAATCAAGAAAAAAATTTTTTTTTTAGAACTTCTCTTTTATTTTTATTTAGGATAAAATTCGTCCATTATGGCGACATTATTTTCAAAATACTCAAGGTCTTATTTTTGTTGTTGATAGTAATGATCGTGAACGTATTGGCGAAGCACGTGATGAACTTCAACGAATGCTCTCAGAAGATGAACTTAGAGACGCAATATTACTCATTTTTGCAAATAAACAAGTAAATAAAAAATACTAAAAAAAAATAGGTTCTTTTTTTTTAATATTATACTTTGATAGGATTTACCAAATGCAATGAACGCTGCTGAAATAACTGATAAATTAGGTCTTCATTCATTACGTAATCGTAATTGGTATATTCAAGCAGCATGCGCTACAAGTGGTGATGGTCTTTGTGAAGGACTTGATTGGTTATCAAATCAATTAAAAAATATGAAATAAATAATGCATACCCAATTCATGAGTTAAATATTTTTATTATGCTTATTGTTGTTTTAAATAAAAAACATCTTATTACATTTGTGATTTTTATTGTTAACTTTTTTTAATTGGTCAGTAGACTCCACTAACTCTTGAAGGAGACTTCTATTAAGTTCTAAAATTTTTTAATAGTTTTAAATAGAAAATAACTTTCAAAATAATAAAAATGATTTTACAGATGCTTATAACATTCTTGTTTAAATTTGCTAGAAAGAAATAGAAATTTCTTTTTTTTTCAAATTTTTCTTATTATTTTATTTCATATTGACGTTTCGAAGTATAAATCTTCATTACTGAGATTGATAGAAAAATAGAAAATTTTACATAGAACAAAATAACAGCAAAGAGAAGAAAAAGAGAAATTTATTTATCTCTTTTTATATTTTAAAGAAGTATTTATAATTCATTTCTATTCGTTATATAGCCTTGTGTACACACAAAACGACGAGGAATTAATTCAAATTAAGTTCGTGTAGTATTTACAAGGCCTTTGTTCTATGTAAAATATTCTATTTTTGTAACAATCTCATTCGATATCTCGGTAATGAATGCTTATATGTCGATAAGAAAGAAAATTAAAAAGAAAATTTGAAAAAAAAAGAAATTTCTGTTTCTTTCAATCAAATTTAAACAATAATTTTATATACTCCTGTTAAATTATTATTATTATTAGATGGAAAAAATTTCAAAGGGTTTTAAGAGTTGTTCAAACGACTTTCTAGAAGATTTCATGATTTTTATGCTGGTAAATAAGACAATCAAACAAATTCTTACCTTTAGATCTTGAATTTTGAAAATTTTATTATGACAATTTTCAAAAAGCTTTTAAAATAAGGGGGGCTTCTATTAATAGGGCGGCGGGAGGGTTAATTATTGTTTGTTATTCATTGAATGACATTATTTTTCGTTTATTTGTTCACTTGAATTGTTAACTTTTTCTTGTTAATTAACATGAAAAATAAATAAAAACTTTTAAAATAAATCATTTGTTCTCTAATGTTCGAGTAAATTAACGTGTTGCATATAAATTTGGTTCGGCTAGATCAATTGAATTTCTCATTATCATAATCTTTAATTGTATATTTAAAATCAATGAACAATAGGAGATGATATTATTTGTTCATTATGACTGGAGATTCATTTGAATATACACTATGTTAGTGTACTAAATGAAATAGTCATTGAGGCCAGTCTTATTATTACAGATAAGAAAGCGGTAAGTTGTTTAAATTGTTGATTACACTTCAACATGATCATATTTTCTATGCCTGGAAGCATCTAGTTTGATTGATATTTCTTTATAATTGTTCTTCTAGATAATTTATGCACTTTCGTTTTTTTTTCTTTTTATTTATTTTTTGTTTTTAATAAATCATTTTATGTTTTTCCTTCAGTTTTAGATTGATTATCGAATAAACGATAAATTCATCTGTTTTTCAATAGATATATATTATTAAAAAAACAACAACATAAGTTCGGGCTTGAATGTTCAATTTCAACGGTGCTGATCAATTGTGTTGACTATAACATGCAATGTAAATATTTATTTCGTTAGCGAGAAGTATTTGTCAGTAGTTTTTATCTTGAACATGACCATGACATCTGTAACAGCTATTATTTTTTATATTTACATCATTGCGGCTTCTAGAACTTACATTCATTGTTTTTCGTATTGATCGTGAACATATTGAAATAGAAAGTGAAGAAGCTAAACTTTGAAGATATACTTATTTTGATAAAACATCAGACTTCAAAAACCGATTTCGACTCCAACGGAGTCGGAGTTAAAAAATAACCACTTCGCAGAACTCTATTCTGGCCATCTGAGAAATATGTAGAATGCGCTAGCCATTGACGTACAAAAAAGCCGGAGAAAAACATCTTATATCTTTGGGCCAACTATCGAATTTCGATTAGGAAATTTGATTGAGAGTATCGAAGTACAGTTCTATCGGATTCGAAGGTTTTGACTTGTTATTGAAGCAACCGGAAAATATTTAATAAATCCTATGCATTAATATAAGTTTTTCTTGTAGAATGGAAACATGGCCAGCAGAAGTCATTCGAGCATTTAATAGGTTTGTTTACCAAAAACTCTTGTTTTTTCTTTTTTGTAAACCCTAAATATTAAAATTAGATCAAAATTTTGTCGTGATGAAACAAAAAAATATGAATTGATAGTTTATAAACCAATTGAATCGATTTTACAAGACGGCCCACAGTAAATAAAATGATTGTGATTGATTTGAGGTTGTTTTTTTTGTTTTGTTTTACACTTTATAAGATGTGGACTTGTTGCTCTTGCAATGGCTATGAATATTCATTCATGTAATACAACAGTACAAAATATATTTGAAAAAGCTAAAGAACTTTTATATACAATTCAAGGTGAATTATTCGACGGTAAAAAAAAAAGCATTTGAAATTTTATTGAATGAATTTTATACTTTAATTTCTAGCTCGTGTAATTCCAAATCTATGTGAACAATTTAATTTAAAAGCTACTCTTCATCGATGGACAAATATAACTGATCTTATTGAATGTTTAAAATCAAATCATGTTTGTCTCGTCCCGTAAGTATAAAATTTATCTTTACATTATTCATAGAAATTATCTTTTGTTTATATTAGATATGATTCTGATGCAAATCATGAACCATGTCTTAAAAAAGGTCATCGAGCTCATTGGCTTCTTGTACATGGTTATTTAAAAGAAATAACATCATCTTCATCGAATGATTATGATTTAATATTAGTACAACATGGAAAAAGTAAAAATCTTGGTGCATTTTCACTTTTGGATCTTTTTCAAAGTAATGGTCAATTAATTGAAGCTGATTCTAAACGTCGAATTGAATCAGATTATTGTGTACCAAAAGATGGATCTCTTCGAGATACATTGTGCAATTTATTTATTGGAATATAATTTAAGAATTTTATTATTAAATAAAAAATTTAATTGAATATCTTGATAAACATTCGATTTCTTTTCTATTATTTCAATTAAGAAAAGTAATTATTATTTTATAATTGAAGAAAACTAATGAGATGACTATAATGAGGGAATTTGTCTGGATATGAATTTTGAACTTTGTCTTGAAACTATCNTCATTGGCTTCTTGTACATGGTTATTTAAAAGAAATAACATCATTTTCATCGAATGATTATGATTTAGTATTAGTACAACATGGAAAAAGTAAAAATCTTGGTGCATTTTCACTTTTGGATCTTTTTCAAAGTAATGGTCAATTAATTGAAGCTGATTTTAAACGTCGAATTGAATCAGATTATTGTGTACCAAAAGATGGATCTCTTCGAGATACATTGTGCAATTTATTTATTGGAATATAGTTTAAGAATTTTATTATTAAATAAAAAATTTAATTGAATATCTTGATAAACATTCGATTTCTTTTCTATTATTTCAATTAAGAAAAGTAATTATTATTTTATAATTGAAGAAAACTAATGAGATGACTATAATGAGGGAATTTGTCTGGATATGAATTTTGAACTTTGTCTTGAAACTATCTCCATTTGAAGATGTCATTAATAGTAACAAATATGAGGAGTTTGTAGACTTCGTATCTTCGAGATAAGAATTTCGAAGAATATTTTTTCTATTATTCACTAAGTGTCAAAAACCTTCTATTGTTAAAGAAATGTTTCTAACTTAGAGATACAAAGCCAATTATACACTGAAACTCGATATATAATCTACTGTATATGAAATCTTCAAATAATAATAGTTTCAAGACAAAATTCAAAAATACAATTTTTTCGAAATCTTAGAGGTCTATGTCAAATACACATATTCAAAATTCAATAGTTTTGCCAAGTTTCAAAATGAAATAAAATACTTTTGAGATTTTCTCTAGAATACTATGTAGTATTTATAATCAAAAGCTGATTGAAATCGAAAGTCGGCATTCGGTGACGTTCTCTCATAAGTCAAACTTAAAACTATAAATTTTTCGTTTGATATTAAATACGTAACCTATATTCATATTATTTTTTGTTGAATTATAACTTTTTTTTTACAATCAAAATTGAATTGAAATTTTATTGCTTAGTAACATTTTTTGTTGTATTTACATGTGCGACATCTAGCAGCATTTTACCAACAATCCAATATATTTCTAGTGGTAAATAAACAGTACATTATATTTGTGATCGTGAAAAACACAATATTTGTTCATTGTATTGGAATTGTAAAGAAATAACTAGTTCATTGATAGATGTTATTCGAAGGTCCACTTAGTAAGTGGACAAATGTTATTCATGGTTGGCAATATCGTTTTTTTGTTCTTGACCCTACACAAGGGATGCTTATTTATTATACAGTAAGAAATAAATATATGTATATTTTAACATAGATTAAAATTTTTATTTTATCTAGTCTAAAGAAAATATGGTCAAAGGTGAACAACGTGGTGTAGTTTTATTAAAGGTAAATTATAGATAAAAAAATTTTTTTTTGATTGATACCACTATTTGATTTTTTTTTTTAAATTTAGGATGCACATTTAGGTATCGATTCGGAAGATGATAGTACAGTAAGAATTTATGAAAAAAAAAAATTTTTCGTTTCTTCTTACTTATTTATATTTTTGTAAGTTTACTATTCGATCTAATGGTAAAACATTTCATTTCCAAGGTAATTCTTTTTTCTTTTTTTTTTTTTTATCTTATCTTGAAGTCCGATTTTTACTTTGTTTTATTAGCTCGTGATGCTGAAGAAAGACAAAAATGGATATCAAACCTTGAAGACGCTATTTCTCTTAATACATTTAATTCAGTATGTTGTTGTGTTGCTTTTTTTTGGTTTGTTTGACTTTTATAGAAAATAATTTTTATCAGGATAATTTATTACGTTCGAATAAAACAATTTTTCAACGTAAAATTACAGAAGCTGACGGTTTTTTACAAATATTAATCGATCAAGTGAATGTAAGAATTTGATTTCTTAAAGAAATAATTTCGTTTTTTTTTTTTCTTTAAAAATGTTATATTTAGGAATTAGAACAAATTAGTAATCAAGTACAAGATACCAAAGAACGGGAATGTTATAATCGTGTTGTTTTATCTGCTAAAGTATATTTGAATATCAATTTTTATATTTAATTATTATGAAATTCTTATTTGATTTTTTTCTAGAGATTAATCGAAGCTGTTAAATATTCTATTTTATCACTTCAATTAGCAAAAGTAAATATTTTTACAATCAATATAATAGAGGATTGTTTCATATGATAAATATAAAAAATTAACCTTAGTAGTAGAGATCTTTATAGTTCGATAGAGCTGAGTGTGATAATTACAAGTATCGTATTTTTTGTCAAAAACATTCGGATAATAAGAAAAATCTCATTTAAATTCTTAGGTAGGAATCTGTCGAAAAATGAATTTCATCAAAACAACTATTTATATATGTAGGCACATCTAATTTTATCTTCAAATGATATTTCACAAGTGCAAAACTTTGTTTTGCTGAAACTCATCTTTCAATATATTCCTGAAGGAAACCATAGATATGAAAATTTACCGAAAACAAAAAGTCGAATAAACAATAAGAAATAGACATATGACGACTCACTCTTTTGTATTTTTTTTTTAAGTCGAACGAAGATTATGCTATTTGAAAGCAGTCGAATATAAGTCAGAAAGGAAACAAATGGAGTATCAAGTAAAGTGGTTAGAGCAAAATTGTTTTTCTCGATATCGAATTTCAGGTTTAAAATTGTGTCCTTAGAAACTGAAAAATATCATTATTTGTAAAGAAATGATCCGACTGAAGCGGTTTTTGGTATTTAGCAATAGAAAAAAAATTCTACATCAAATTAACCTATTTTCGACGAATGTAAATTAGATTTTTAATAGACTTTCAGATCCTTTTTATTATTCACCTTTCTTTGAAAAAAATGCGATTTTTATTATCGTGACACTGAGTTTTATTGAACTATACAGATTTTGAATAGAAAGAACAATGAAAACAAATTTTTTTTCAATACGAAGCTAATAAAATTAGAATCAGAATTTTTCGATGTATCAGGGCCATATTTTAACATACCTCCTTTATCTTTGGAATGAAACCAATCATCTGAAAAATCGCTACAATCTTATCAGTGTAGCATTCATCTTTTTTCAAATTTACTCTTACGAAATTTTACACTCAATAAAAAAGAAAGAATGTTTTTGCAAAACCTTATCTGTTTTCTTTACTCTTAAATAGGTAGTTCTCTTGAGAATCAGTGTATTATTAATGACCTTTTGTTTTACTGACTACATTTTAGCATTATACCTTTGATGATTCAAAAATAAGTTGCTATAGAGTAGTGACGAGTAGAGCCCGTCGGATCCGGGTCTAAAGCAATTTTTGATGCATATGAGAATATTTTTCGAAGTTTTACTGATCTTCAGGTTTCTCTAGAGAGCTAGTTGCTTTTGATTGTTAGTGTTGAAAATAAACTGTTTGTGGTCAATAGAACACGTTGCTTTGGTCTCAGACACAGACGAGATCAGGTTCGGGTCCAAAAATGTTGTACCCGACAGGCTCTAGTGACGAGCCCACAGAAGGATATAGAATCTTGCAGCCACTTAGAATAATTGAAGTATAGGGAGAAAGTTCAATCGGGTTATGAGAACATGAATTTCGAGATGTTCCTATCCACTTCAAAATATTATATGCTCCACTGGTTTTGTTTTTGAATAACTGTCCATAGGAAAATCATAGAAATATGGGGTTTTCACCATTCAAGAAAGAATACCCAGAGCTATCGAATTTTGACTGGTCATCACTGAATCAAACAGGTGAGCTCTTGGTGGAGATTTTCCTTTCGATCTAGACAAGGACGACATTTATAACTTGTTTCATTTGAGAGTTATAAGACTTTTTCTGAGATAACTAAATTCAGCCAATTGACCTGTAACTACCCAGGAAAGCTAGGTACAGTAATTCACCATGGTCAATCAAATAGTGATATTTATTTTTACATTTGAACTGATCGAGGATTTATCTTAATATTTCAGAAATAATAAATTAAAAGTGTCAGATTAGTTCGAATCTAAAAGAAAATATCACGATTTGAATATGCAAGGTGAATCATCCCGATCTAGCTACTTTTGAAAGTGGTCACAGGTCAATTAGCTGAAGTCAGGAGCCTTCCAAAAACATCAAAGATTATTCAAAAACTAGTACAGCATATTATATTTTCAAATGAATATTAGTTTAAAAAATCAAAGAAACAAAAACAAAACCATACATATTTTTACAGTATTATTATTCAAAATCGATACCATATAGTTACATAAACGAACAGTTTTTTGAATCAGTAAGCTTAGTTATTAGATTTTAGACTTGACGAAACACTTTGTTATCTTTAAAAAAAGATGAGAAAATTTTTGACATGTATATAAAAACAAAAGTTCGGATTATTTTTGCATAGGTTCATATGGATCCACATAATGAAATAAAAACTAATGTTGATTATCAAGCTGTATTATCAGATATGAATATTAATAAAGGTAGAAAAATGCTAATTCATTCAAATGACATTATTACATATCGTTTTTTGACTAGATGAAATTCCTATAAACAATAATGAAGCATCGTCAAATACAATTCAATCAATAATTCGTAATGATAAAAATGAAAAAATTACTGATGATAATAATTTAATTGAATGTATGTGAAACATTGTTTTGTTTTTTATTTTAATTATTATTTTCTTTCTTTTTTTTTTTTTTTAGCAACAGCTTTAAATTTTCATACAACTGTTAAAACTGTTCGAAAAAAATTTCCTATATCATCTTATTCAAGTAGTGATGATGACAATGATTTTTATGATGCCGATGAACCAATCGAGTAAGATATATGTTTGATTCTTACATGAATCGTTTAATTGTATAACAAAGTAGAGATTAAAAAAAAAAATAATTATGTTAATTCCTTTTTTTTCTTTGATATAAAATTGATTTGTTTCTTTAGTGTATCGGTTTTTTCAGCAGCTGTAAATCAACAAATAGATGAAAAAACAACAATGAATGATAATCAAATAAATGAAACATCGTAAAAAGAATATAAAATAAATTAAACTATAATTTGAAATGTATTTGTTTTTTTTATTTTAGTCTTGCAAATGAATCACAAATTCCATTTGAAATTTATGAAGCTGCTTATGATGAAGGACCTGAAGAAGATCGTAAGTTATTTATAAAATTTATAAGAAATCGAAAAAATTTTTATGGTTTTAGTTGCACCTATTGATGGAACGATAATTTCACATTTAATATCTCAAGTAAGAAATAATATTTATTACATTGATTAAATCAATTTGAATTGTGTACTTCTCATTATTTTTGACTTTCATTTAATGATCATTATTAAACCAAAGATTAAACAACTTATATAGTAGTACGATTAGTAAGAAATAAGAATATGAATTAAAGTACCAGCCATCAGAAATTCGAGCAAAAAATTTCGTATAAAGCTCTTTGAGTTACGTATGACAATGTTGTTTTTTGGCAGGTTCATTATTTATCCGAAATGATTTTACTCGTAAATATGATAAGGAAAAAAATTATGTATGAGTTTTGGAAAATATCAGAAAAACACTATAAATATGAGTTCATATTCAGAAATTTCGAACTTATGTTCAGAGTTGTTGATGATCTTTTTGAAGAATGAAAAGTGCTTTTAGATTCGGAATGCAAGAAATAGTACCGGAGGGGAGGAGGAACGAAATCTACCGGGACCTACCCAGTCAGACAAAAGTTTTGAAAAACGCGTTTAAACGCACAATCGGGAACCGCGATTGTAAGCCATTAACGCTCATTAAAAAAACGCACGAAAACGCGTTTATTGGCCTTTTTGTAACTTCATGGGCGTTAAAACGGCGACAATTCCCGTTTTTGAGCGTTAAAACGCACTATTATTCTAGAACTTAAAAATAATACGTTTTAACGCCCATAAAATTACAAAAAACGCCAACAAACGCGTTTTCGTGCGTTTTTTTAATGAGCGTTAATGGCTTACAATCGCGGCTCCCGATTGTGCGCTTAAACGCGTTTTTCAAAATTTTTGTCTGACTGGGTACTCCCATCCTATTCACCTTACGACGATCTTGTCTGCTTATTTGTTATTCTACTTTCTGTTAGAGAAAGATAAATGGTGTTTCAAAGTCTTATTTCTATCGAAAGTTATTACGAAGATGTAAATCAGATATTTTAGAAAGGAAGCTCTCTCATTGAGAATTCTGCTTCAGTTTCAAATAAAACGAGTATTATATTCAGTATCAATATAAAGATCTACATAGACTTTAATGCTTAATAGGCAAAAAAAATTCGACCTTATCGAAAGCATAGATCAGATTAATCGAAAATAACAGTGAGGAGATACACGAACTGAAATTTGTTTTACTAATTCTGAATACAAATTTGTATTTATGGTGTTTTGCTATTATATTTGTTTCAACAGTGAAACAATTTTTTTCTTATCATATAATAAGTCCAAAAATTATTTCGGATAAATATTGAAGCTATTGAAACTTGATAATCTTGACGTACTTTAATTTTTTATGAATTTTTCTTATTCTTAATGTCTAAAACAACATTTTAACAGGTAACTCAACGAGTACTATCCAACCATATCAAAAAATAAATGCGAAAACCTCGGATTTAAATCCGAGTGTTATGTGTACTGCAAAAAGTGAAGAGATATATTCACTGTTTTTTATCAACTGAGCCATATCTAGCCTATTTACTTTTTGCAT